AAAGAACAGGTTAAAATTTATTATGTTTATAACTATAGATTTTGAAAATTAAGGTGTACTTTTTCATCTCTTATTTTTTATTTTTGTTAAATTTTTTAGTGCACACACTAAGCTAAAAATAAATTTTTGAAATATTACTTTAAACAGCGGTCAGTAGAAATTACTTTGTAATAATACATATAGAGAATAATTAACAGTTAATACATAATTACTTCTTAAATTCACTCAAAAAATGTACTATTCTCTAAAATTTTTGACTTTTATAAATAAATTACGCTCAATTCATGAATTTTTTTGTATTGCTAATAAAGTTAGTATCTTTTACTTTTATAAATAAGTTCTTTTCATTTTTTTTGCGTTAATAAAATTTGTATCTTTGGTTTCTTTCACATTTATAGTTTCTTTTCATTTTCTTTGTGTTAATAATTTGATCCTTTTTCATATCTATAGATGTATTTTTCACAGTTCTCTTTATTATCTCTTTCTTTATTAACGGTAAATTATTCATTTTTTATTTTTTTTCTCTCAATTAACGATGAAGTAATTTGTTTTCTTTTTTTTTTGTTTACTTGTGTTTGGTTCATGTATATGTGAATTATTTGGTTAAACACAACGTATATACTTAAGATTCAATTTTAATTGTGATAAAAATGAAAAAATTTTGAATGTCAAGCCTATAAATTAAAATTTAAACATAATAATAAATTAACTTTTATTTACAACAAAAAACTTACAAAGAAATAAATTTTAAATTTATTTTTATACTTATACTTTGAAGAGTAGTTTCGTGTAAAACTGCTCTTTAATATTAATATTTGAAAGTGATTATTTAACCGTTTTCCAATCTAAACATTTGATAGCGGTTGTTTAATCAACATATTAGATAATATGAGAGTAGTTTTAAACACTTTCTAGCTCTCACATATTCTTTCTAGCGCAATAACTGTTTTTTTAAATATAAGGTCTTATTAATTTATACTTTTAGCAAATTAATTAAGAATATTTTGTAAAGAAAAAAAAGTTAATGTTGTATATATTTTTTTAAAATTACAATTAAATAGTACCAAAATAAACTTCCAAATAGATTCCTATGAAAAAACTAGAGATAGATAAATACATACATATACCTTTTTCAATTTGTATTTGGTGAGGGTTTAAATTCTAGAATGTATTTTGTTCCTTTTCCATCTAGACATAAATGCAGTTTGTACCTTTGTTTCTTACTCGCAACTTGAAGTGTATTGAGCATTCTTTTCAAGTGAATATGACAACTTTTTCCTACTTGTAAAACCACCAAGCTGGAATCAATTAGGAGGAGATTAACAAAAGATGTCTTATAAAGCAAAAGCTAAAACCTAAGTAAAAGTGATAATAAAGTCACAAAATATATTATTGAGAGAAATAGATCTAATTAATTAAGAAACATGAATACACCATTATATGCGGCCATAAACTCTTTTTGGATGCAATGAATGTAGCATAAAAGTTGGGGAAACTCTTTAATATTAGTATGAACTTAGATCGAAAGTTGACGTGAATAAGTGACCAGTTTACTGAGTCAATCGTCAAATATATGGTCTCACTCCAGCAGCCCCGATTGAATGATCAGCTCCCAGTTTATACAAAGAAATGAAATGTTAATTGTTACTTCTTTCATTTTAAAATAAATGTCATTTTAGTAATTTTTATATATATATATATCCTTTTTCTAACATTATCGTTTTTTATACACTTTTTAAAGTAGAAAAAAAAAAAGTTCTTAGAAGTATCAGTTAAGAAATTAAATAAAAACGTTAGTATTAAAAAATATTTTAATATATTCTCATCCTAGTTTTTGTAAAATTAGGTTAATTAATATTTTAGGAGATAAATATTAAATAAAAAAGTTCATAACTTGAATAAAGAGAAAGATAATTAAATGATAGTTAACGAGGGGTTTTGATTGGAGTGAGCATGGATGACAGAGATTCCTAGTTCCGTGACGAGCGACAATTTGGTTCAGATAAAAAGATAAAGAGCGCCAACCTTTTCATACCTTATTTTTTCTTCCTTTTCATAACATAACGGTCAATTGCTGTGACAGCTACAAAATTAACTTCTTTTTATTCGATCCTTTTCTGTAATTCCATTTTCATGTCATTTCCAATGTGGAAATTATTCTTCCAACGTTACAATGACGTGGAAACTGGTAATAGTTATCCCATTCTTGCCCAATGGTTCATCATTTTGGAAGAATATGCACTATTTGACAAAAACAAACAAAATAACGACAAAAATATTGGGATTTTTTTTATTAACACAATAATGCAATTAAATATCTTTGCCTGAGCTTTTTTCACGTTAACAGTGTCCAAATAGAAATCCTGGATATGAGATTCTGTCAGACAAATAAACTATAAACGATTTTGTATTTGATTTTTATTATCTCTATATGATCATATTCTTTGTAAAATTCACCAGCACATTTTAATTTTCGTAATTTGAAATCAGAAAGCATTATCTTAAGTTGATATCCGTCCTGTTCTTTGACACTATTTTCTCAACTCCAATCATTGTTTCAGGAAAATCAACTGTCATCGAAAGCTTCTTTGAGTTGAAAGCCAACGTGCAGTTGCTTATGCAAATTGCTTTACTCGATTATTATTAATTACTATATACACTAACAAAGAAATGGTTTTCTAATGTGAGTTGAAAGCTAACATTTTATATATACATACAATTTATTAAATTTTTTATGATAAAACAATATTAGTAATAAAAAATAGTAGTAATACATTAAAAAATAGTAGTAATAAAAAAATAAAAAGGATGCATTTTCAAGAAAAACTAATAAATTTTGTGTATAATTTATAAAAATGTGTGTTCAGCCAGTTATAGAAGAGGATATTTATAAAATTCAGTGGGCATTAAAATTAGGCGACCCAAAACCCACAACGTCATTGAATGGCATGTGAAGGTCGCTTTGAGAAAACGGCGTTCATACAGTCATATCACTTTCAAGATAGACGACGAAATATAGCCATTGATTGTGTGTTATTATTCCGGTTTATTTCAATCCAATAAGAAAATATGATTTCCTTTTCTTCTATTTTGATGATATCAAATCTTAATATTAATTTAACATATATAAAAATATTTTAAAAATTTACTTTTGAATTTTTATTACATTTAAACCATCAATTTTATGTACTTTATATTAAAGATTATATTTGAAAAATGATATGGACTTTTAATTAATTTTTAAAATTACTATACATTATTACTTAAAATAAAATATATTAAATTATTATAATTTGTTAATTTTATTTTTTAATACATGTTATTCATAATTATATAATAAAATTAATATGTTCTGTAAATTTATTATTAAAAATAATATTATTAAATATAAAATATGTATTAAAATATATAATCTTATTCTTTAACTATTATAAATATATTATTCTTGAGAAAGTTGAATAATTATAAACATTTTATAAATGTTTGTTTTCAATAAATCTATTAAAAATAATTTGGATGAAAGTTGTTAACATCCGTCATGAAATTACCAATCTATTATAGAATCACAGGTATCTATTATGTCTCATGATATTTTGTTCAAATAAAATAATAAAGTTGTATATTACAAATCTAAAACAGCGAAGTTCACGATACTTTTATAACAAATAACTATTACTAAATTATAATTTAAAAACTTAATTATAATTTTAGTTTACATATTTTAATTTCTGTACAGTGTTGATTCACATAGAATAATTATACTGATTCTATAATTTTAGTTTACTTTTTATGATTTATCAAAGTACAATTATTCATTATAAATTTAAAACTAAACAACATTATTGACATACTTGGTTTAAACATTAACAAGGAGAAGAAAATTTATGAATATTGCTGTGATTATCTTGATACTTAAAAGAGTAAATAAAATCTCTTTGATAAATTAAAAAAATCTACCATAGAAGTTCAATAAAAAATATTTAAATGATAAAATAAATTTAATTTAAAAAATTATTAAAAGTAAATAAATAAAATTAATTGAATATTATTTTAAAAAATAAAAATAATATTTAAACCTAACTTTATATATGCATTGTTAGTGGTAATGTAATCAGGTCCAATGACAGTGTGGTTGAATTATTATTTTTTCTAAAATTACAGTTAATGTATTAAAAATTTTCTTTTATGATAATCTGATTCATCACCAATTGTTGAGTTATATGTAATAAAATCTGATTTTTAACTGATTATAAGATAGAGTTGTGCAAAAGCTGCCAATCAATTCACATGTTCTGCTATGTTATTGAGTATTTAAATAATTTGTCAAGATTTCATTATGTTGTGATTTATGTTAATTCTTAAGAAAAGGATTATTTAGCTAAACATGAATTAACAACGCACTAATGCTTTATGGCTTGGGATTTCTCTTCGTTTTTATACAAAATGTATTTTGATCTTTATTTATTATATTATGTATTAAGAAATAATTTTCATACATTAATACAACATAAATTTTAAATTTTTTATACTTAATCTAAATCTTTCATTTTATTTATATTTAATGATTAATAAAATAATAAATTATAATTCATTTAATATAAGTTAAATAAAAAAGGTAATATCAAATATGAAATTTTAAAACTTAATAAAAACATCACTCTTTATTTATTTTCAATGTATAAAAAAATATAACTTTATAATGTGACAAAATATGCCAATTTGGACCAACAACTGAGTTATTGCAACTAACCCGGCAAAAAAGGGAGGAATCAAATTAACTTTTTTCATGTCTTTCTTCACCATTGGAATAATTTCCCACGACACACAAATTCCATAACAGAAAATAAAAATACTATGAGAAATTACACGCGCCAAAGAGTGCGTGTGAGGTTGGTAATTCCAGCATTCTGACAAGCTTTGCAGAGTAGATATATATGACTTGACTTCATTACTTGCATAGACATTAGACACCTCTTTTATGCTTTGTTTATACGAAGAAAGAGAAAGAAAACTGTGAACACACAGATTCAGACAACCTCTTACCTCCGTCATTGTACCTTTACAAATTTGCCTTTGCCTTTTTCTTGTTCCCAGTTTTTTCTTTTACAAAGGTTAGGGTTTTACGCAAGTTTTAATTACTTAATTATTATTATTATACACGGATTTTCCTTTTTCTATGCAATGCAATATGTGTGCGCGCTTACGTTCCCTTCCCTCACTGCTTTTCAATCTTAGACACCAACTTTTATTTTTCTTCACTTGACCTCCAACAAGTGTAACTTCGTGTTAGTGGAATCTCAAATCAAGTTCTCAGCATTTCCCAACAACCTTCTCCTGCTCTTCAGTTAATTTTTCTCCAAGTAAGTTTGGTTCATTATTTTATTTTCCCAGATTTTATCTTCATGACCATGTTTAATGCTTGAAATCGACGTGTGCATTTTTTTCTGTTTTAATATATGTTGTGGGGGGGGGGGGGGAGTGTTTTCCTTGTTTTTGGTGTGTGTGGAATCATGGAGTGTGTTTTCTTGGTGGATTGGATTTTTGGAGTTTTGAGCTGGTTGGTGATTGGTTCAGGCACTGAGTTGACTAGGCTCTTCTTTGGTTCGGAAGATGATTTTGTGATTGGGTTCACCGGAGCAGACTGTGCTGAAGATTAAGATTGAAGTGGGGATCAATGGGTTGGGAGAGATCTGCTTTGGAGTTCAAGAGAGTGAAGATCTATGGACAAGTTCTATTGGGATTTTTGTTGATATGCACAATTCAGATTTCAAGTTCAGTCACTGATCCCACTGATGGTAAGGATTCTATCCTGTTTTTGCCTTCCACATTTTGCTCAGTCTCCCAAGTAAATGACTTAACATTCTCATGTCACAAAAGTGATGTAGTTAGCTGATTGTCAGGTCTTCTGTTTTTAGTATGATTTTTTATGTGTATTTGTGTTTCTCAGTGGTGGTTGAAGAATGAAAGACTATCTGCTTCTCTCACATCTAATAGGATTTCATGTTTTCTATGATGATGCTCTGGGGTTGATAACATACTTTCCCTTTGAAACTGAAGTATTAAAATTTGTGTTTGTGTGCCCACTTAGTCTTTGGTGAATTGATATATTCAAGTGTCCATGATTTAATGTTATAATTTTACTAGCTGTTATTGAATGCTGTTTATGGAACATTGTAATATTATGCTTTTTATCTTGATTGAGGTGTGGAGGATTACTGAATTGTGTGGCTGTTAGACAGAACAGAAAATTCGTGAATTACTACTTTCAACAATTTTTTTTGTTATGTCTTATATCTGCAGTCTATAGGAATTCTAAATTTTTCTGATTGTATCAGTTGCTGCAATTAATAGCTTATATGTTGCACTGGGATCCCCTGTTCTCCCTGGATGGGTTGCTAGTGGAGGAGATCCATGCGGACAAGGGTGGCAAGGCATTCAGTGTAATGGATCATTCATACAAAAAATGTATGTCATATATTAATTTTTTTATTGATATCTCTCAAAATAGATGATTATAAGTTTTCTTATCAACTTATTTATGACAGAGTTCTGAATGCTGCAAATTTGGGAGGAGATCTGGGTGATAATCTGTCAACTTTTGTTTCAATCACAGTAATGTAAATAAAATTCTTTCTCTCTGCATTTATCTGTGTGTGTGCATGCACATATGCATGAATGTGTACATGTCTGTGCATCTAGCAGTTTTCTCAGTTCTTAAATTTCAGTGGCCATCCTTCTCACATTACAAATGATACAAGTTACTTCTGCACCCTCTTTACTGTTTGCTTTATATTTTGGAGGTAGTGATCTAAGCAACAACAACATTGGAGGAAGTATTCCATCCAATTTGCCAGTTACCATGAAAAACCTGTATGTAATAACCTAATTCTGTGATACTATCTCTTCCCAACAAATTGTGTGAAAAGACATGATGGATTGTACTTGCAGTTTTCTTTCAGCCAACCAGTTCACTGGAAATATTCCGACCTCTTTGTCCACTTTGACTGGACTGACAGACATGTGAGGTTTTGCTTCTCCTTTTTTATATTAAATGTTATGCATGTTTATCCAAATTACATTGATCTATATCTCCTTTCAGGTCTCTTAACAACAATTTTTTATCCGGAGAATTACCAGATGCTTTTCAGTCACTTACACAATTGATCAATCTGTACGGCCTCATTTAAAATAATATACTAATTTAGAGAATTTGAATTAAGATTCTTTACTTCATTATACATTAAACATGTTTGAGGGAGCCATTAACTGTTGTGCAGAGATTTATCTCAAAATAATTTGAGTGGGGAATTGCCTCCTTCTATGGATAGCTTGTCAGCCCTGACCACCCTGTTAGTATTTTGTCTTAGCAAGATCAAATTATGACCTATTTTCTTCTATATCAAGCTAACTCACTATTTCCTTGTTGGCAGACACTTGCAGAACAATCAACTGTCTGGGACACTTGATGTTTTACAAGACCTTCCTCTGAAAGATTTGTACTTCTTCTAACCATATTTCATATAAATTACAGCTGATATATTAGTTTATAAATTTGTTTTTACTTTTTACCATGGATAGTAGAGCTTTTAGTATGCGTGTACCATGTAGGATTAGGTTCTGTCTTTCTAATGTCAGTACTACTTGATTCTCTGTTAGATTTGTGATTATTTTGCCTGTTTGAGCAGGAATGTTGAAAACAACCAGTTTGCTGGCCCAATACCCCCAAAGTTGTTAAACATCCCTAACTTCAGGTGAAAGCCATAAAAACCAAGTACTTTACATATTTTGCTTCTTTATGCTTAAATGGAATGATAACTTGAACTAGAAAATGTGAAGATGAACATGGTACTTGGTGGTTTAGACTGTCTTTTCTTGATAATTTAACTGATCCTGTTAATTTCAAAGTTTTTCTGTGTTGCAATTAAGCAAAAAAAAAAAAAGTTAGGGCTTAAAGAGAATAAATGGTTTTTTGACATAGGGCTTTCTGCAGAATTTGAGAAGCACTGCTACTCTATTACATAACCAATTAGATCCAGTTTAATGACTGGGAAAAGGAAATGTTATTTATGAAAGTTCTCAAGAGTCTATACTCCACACAATTTCCAATTTTTAATAGTTTTGTGCATTGTACAACAAACACTTCTTTTGCATCCAGATTAATGTATCAAAGAGTTTGTGATGAGGGAATTAACTTATATGTTGTGTACTGGTGCTTTAAACTTGTGATTCTGGGCCAACTGAATGGCATATGGCATGAACTTTGTAGTTTATAATTTGGAGTCAAGAGGGATGACATAGCAATTAGCTATAGAAGGACAATGGTAACGGCAAGGTGCATTTAATAAAGTGGTCATCTGTAATAAACTGGATCAATTGAAAATTTCTGTGAAACAAGAATAATATTCTCCGCTATACAATTCAGGAATCCGAGAGCCTGAACCTCTCCCACCAAGTTCCAACTATATTTTTCCTATCTTATTTCCCCCCCTTCCTTCCCTATTTATTAACATCCTATTATTACAAGTAACAAATTCAGTTATTTACAACTGTCACAATTATTAACCGCTATTGTAATCCTTTGGGCCGTAGCCCACTTCCTTTTCTTTGTTCTTTTCTAACATAAACATTCTTAACTAGGGGTCTGTTACTAACATCATCATACTATTGTCCTATTGGCACTAGCAGGACTTCAGTTGGAGTTTTGGGTTATTTTATGTGGCTATGACTTGAGTGTTCATTCTTTGTTTGAAGTTTCTGCTATTTTTATTCATTGATTTTGCTCACATCTTGGAAATTTGAATTTGAAGAATATATTGTTATTCTGTAGCTTCAGTAAGTAAAGATGATGTTTGATATGCAGACAAGCTGGAAACCCATTTAATGTTAATGGTACTGCAACTCCTGCTTCTTCACCTCGCTCCCCAGTGACAGCACCACCAGGAACTCCAGTTTCCACGGCACCATCTTCTGGCCGTGTACCTGCAAAACAGGCTGATGGACCAACTGCAGTTAACGAATCACATTCTGGGAAGTCCAAAAAAACCACCAAAAGGGTGGTTTGGATATCTATTGCTAGTGTGATGGGATCCATTATTTTGTTACTAGGACTCATTCTATTTATTCCAAGATGTAGCAGAAGGGAACGGGTTGACAGAAGGTCTAAGCGACATCAAATTGGTGCATACGGTGAAAGACAAAATGCCAGGGATTACGGGGCTATAGTCCAGCCACCTAGTCAAACAGAGAAAGGCAAACAAATATACCTTTTGGTCCTTCATTTAATTTTTTATTTGACATTTAACTATTCATTGGAAGGATTATCCTATTTAATCATTTATCTTTTTAAACACTTGTAATTTATTTTGACAGTACCTGTTGGGGATGCTCCAAGGCCAAAAGAGGGTCATCAAGCAGAGACCAGGGGAGTGGGGGTTATTCCAAATCCACAGGGAAAGCAGGAGAAGCAAGAGAAGGATGTGGAAAGAGTGGCAACAATACCAAAGCCAGGAGATCATGAGATAGATATGAGTACTCTTGAAGTATATGCGATGCCTCCCCCTCCCCCTCCACCCCCACCACCCCCTCCCCCTCCCCCTCCCCCGCCTCTACCCACATCATCTCTCTCTACTGAGAGGGTGATTGTTGAGCCAACCACATTCCATAGAGGGACTAATGTTAATCCATCCATAAGAAGTTCAGTTCCTCCTCCCACTTTTGCAAAATTTTTCACCATTGCATCCCTTCAACAGTATACAAATAGTTTTTCTCAAGACAATCTTATAGGAGAAGGCATGCTGGGTAGCGTGTATAGAGCAGAGCTCCCTGGTGGGAAGGTAGGATTGGTACTTATTAATTACATTGATTAATGTAGAGTGCATGCATAAACAAGTTACAACCCTTCCCCCCTCCCTCAAAAATAAAAATAAAAATCTTTAATGTTATGTCTTCCTGGACTTTGATCACCCTTAAATAGTTAATAGTGGTTATGATATTGTGATCAATTCAATATTTTGTGAAGGTATTTCTTGGATGACATGGTAAATGGCTAGATGCATATATTGATTGCAGAGGTTTAACTAATGATATCTTTGGATCACATCTTGATTCTGATCTCAGTTTCTCTCACTTGCTAAACAATCCTTTAGTGTTATTCCTTGATTTGATTTTTATTTAAGGCTTACCTTTCTTTATATATTGTTAGCTGCTTGCTGTAAAGAAACTGGACAAGAGAGTTTCTGATCACCAGAAGGATGATGAATTTCTTGAGTTGGTAAATAGTATTGACAGAATACGACATGCAAATATTGTTGAGCTTGTTGGATACTGTTCAGAGCATGGTCAAAGGCTTCTGATCTATGAGTACTGCAATAATGGGTCATTGCATGATGCACTTCACTCAGACTATGACTTCCAAACAAAACTCTCGTGGAATGCTCGTATTCGGATAGCACTTGGAGCAGCTAGAGCCTTGGAGTAAGTCATGTAACTGTTATTGTTAAGAAAATAAATTGCTCAAGTTGTTATTGTAGGTTAATAATAGATTCAAAGTTTTCATTTCAAATTTTAATTTGTCCTGCCTAAATTTCTTTATTTTCCTCAATGAATTTATTTAATGCTGAAAGTATTTTTGCTAAAATTTGGTTATTGGTGAGGTAACTATGTTCCAACCTTACTAGAACTTTCTAAAGTTTAAATTGATAAAACATCATGCTTCCCCCCAATGCTTCTTGATGTGGATCTTAATAGTTATTCAAATTACATTATGCTCTATACTCTGTATGAAAGAGATTATAAATAGGTAAAGGTTAGGTTAATCTATTATTCCCTGAACTATTTGAAAAGTTTTAATTAGGTATTTCGATACTTTAGAAAGTTTAAATTAATTCCTTGTATAAATAATTTTTAATTGGATTCCTAGGCTAGGGTTCCATTAGGGTTCTGCCAATTTGGACAGAATTTTCTTGACCTTTGTTGAAGTACATGGACCTATTTGAAAACTTCCACATAGTTTAGAGACCTATTGACTAACTAAACTAGCAACCTAGTCCATTGAATTATTTGAAAATTTTCAAATAAATCTTAGTAATTTAACAAGGATCAAGAATATAGCTTATGTTTTCTTATGTCTCTTTCAAACAAAGCATAAGCTATATTCTTACTCAGATCAAATTTAAAATGATTTATAAGTTTAGGGACTCAATTACAAACTTTTAGCTTATGTTTGGTGAAGTCGAAAGAAAATAAGGGAAAAGGAAAAGAAATTGAAATTTGAATTGAAGAAAAAATGAAAGGAGAAATTTTTTTGAACTTCTGTTTCTAAAAGCTAATTTTTCTCATTTTTCTTTTTATTTTCTCTTTAACCAAAAGCATTACAGAATAAATACCTATTTAAAATTCTGAAATGGTTAAAGGACTAGGATTAATTTAACCATGGTTAAACACCATTTCAAGAATCAATTCAACCTAAAAGCATAAGTTGTTTGGGTGTCTGACCAAATAATGGTTTTTGTCCAACAATAAGAAATCTCTTGTTCAATCTCTTTATAGAGCTACAGGATTTTCTAGACAAAGAAATAAAGCTTATGCATAATTGGAAGTTGAGGAGTGGGTAATTTTTCTTTGATAAGATATTTAAAGATACAAGATTTGAGGTTCTAACTCTTATGCTTCCTGTCCTTTTAATAAGATATCTGCATGAGCTATGTCAGCCACCCGTGGTGCATAGAAATTTGAAATCCGCCAATATTCTCCTTGATGATGATCTATCTGTGCGGGTATCTGATTGTGGTTTAGCTCCATTGATAGCTTCAGGATCTGTCAGTCAGGTAAGAGATTATTCAATATGTAAAAGTTGTTTCAACATTATGGGGGAAACGGTAGAACTTTTGTTGGGTTGATGCACCTCATCGTGATATTGTAGGATTTATTAGTTTGCATTATAAGTGTGTTAATTTTCCATGCATTGTCAGCTCTCGGGGAACCTGCTATCAGCTTATGGATATGGGGCTCCGGAATTTGAGTCTGGAATTTACACATACCAAAGTGATGTGTTCAGCTTTGGAGTGATTATGTTAGAACTTTTGACTGGCCGTCAGTCCCATGACAGGTAAGAATGCATAAGCTAAGTATTTCATTCATCTATTTAGCTTTTTATCCTGTTAATTCATTAAATGGAACATCTTGAACAGGACACGTCAACGAGGGGAGCAATTTCTGGTCAGATGGGCAGTTCCCCAACTTCATGATATTGATGCATTATCAAGCATGGTTGATCCTTCTTTAAATGGAAATTACCCGGCAAAATCGTTGTCCAATTTTGCAGACATTATTTCTAGATGTCTTCAGGTGACATTTTTGTGTGAACATAAATCCCAGTTATTAGTACCTCTTTTTTAATCTTTATTCTGTGGGATTAATTTCTTGCCTTACATGCATATAATACAGTCGGAGCCAGAATTTAGGCCAGCAATGTCCGAGGTGGTCCTATACTTACTAAATATGATAAGGAAGGAGTCTCAGCAAAGTGAAGCAAATCAAAATTGAGAATAGTAGTGAAGTGACATTTGTTTGTGAATTAGTTTGCAGAGATTCATTTGCTGAATATGTTCAACTAGTAGAGATATCATATACGTTTCATCTGCGGGGAGTCCAATCCATACTCGTGCTAACCTATTCAACATTCACATGATAAATTCTGTCAAGAGTTTTGACCAATCAGCTTCAGGATTGTAGTGACCAACACTCCTCATATGCGTAGTCTTATCATATCTGATAATTTCTTAGTTCATTAAATTATACGATGCCATTTAATGTTGTAGAGGCGTGCTTACTAACCCATTTGTTTGATAATTGTTTCCAAATTCTTGATAATGAAAATGTAATTCCATTTGTGGCATCATTATGGTTTTTATGTTCATCCTTCATAATAAAAGTTTGGTGATCATTTGTACTAAATAACAGACAGGCTTTGTAATTTAATATTAATTGTTCTTTGTACACTACAAAAGGATTTCTCTTGTTTTTTTGGTATAGTGCCTGTTCGATCTATAATTTAGACCGAGTACAACTGCGTTTGAAGCCTCAATCTATTCTTACAATCGTTGATTGTGTTTAGATAGAGTTTAGATATTATTTTGGTCCCTTAGATGTTTTGGATTTGGTCATTTTGGTTTCTTAGAAAGTTGTTCTTGAAGTCACTGGTCATTTTGATGTGGGCTTTTAATTACCACATAAAATGCACACGTCGTGATTAATGATGTCAATACTAATGAAACCGTTGATGTTGTATCTTAAAGTATAACATCAAAATGCACATGTCGTTGTCAATTATATGAAATCCTATTATCGTTTTATTTTCTTTTGCTCAAACAAACCTTGATTTGCCTCATCATGCCAGTCCTAGGTCTTTGAATCTTTAGTCCGTTCCTCTTAATTTAGGTTAATTGATACTAATGGAAATCTCAATCACCGAAAAATGTGACGTCGTTAAATGTCAGTGTGCCATGTTAAATATTACATAAGATGCACATGTTAAAGTATTATTTTTTTATTTATCTTAAACATTAAATAGAATGAGATAGTGTTGTTTAAGATTTATCCTTTTATTATCATATTTTAACTTCATTTACTTTCTATTTAATAATTTCTTATCTTATTATGTTAACAAAACAAATCTTAAAACTTTAATTAGTCATCTACTCATTATCTGTGGTTAACTATTTTACTAAATTATAAAATTATTTAAAAAATTCTCATAAAATATAAAAAAGTATCAAACTATGTCATTTATCAAATATTTTTGTTAGTTTATTTATGTTTTCAAATAAGTTTCTAAAATTTAATAAATATTATTAAAAAAATTATTTGGAAAACTAAAATTTAAAGTAAAGAGTATTGTTCTATTTTTCATAGAAGTGTTAACAGATTTATCTAAGAAGATACTTCTGATATTTAAAAAGGAAGATAAAGTAAAGAATCCTTTTCTTTTCTTATTATAAATATTATATTAAAAAAATTTAAAGTGTCAGAATTAACTTTAAAAAATTATTAAAATGAGCTTTGTTTAAGGCCCAATTTAAATGAGTTTTTGGAGAAATACTTATAGAAGAAGAAAATTAATATAAAAATAATATTTTTCATAAATTTAAAATAATTTATACTCTTTAAATTAAAATAAATAAATAAAGAGATTTTATAAATAGAAAGAAATAATTTTTTTATTTATGAATTTTTTATTAAATTTTAGTTCTACAAATGTTTATAGAAAAGTTTATCTAAACTAAACTAAAATAAGTTGTATCTTTTCAAATTATAAACTATACTTCTTTCAAAAGAATAAATTATTACGTAAGTAATAATAACTTTTTTAGTTAATTCTGTAAATGTTTATAACATCAATTCTATGATGTAAAATTTTAAAAAATTAATTAAATTTAATTATAAACCGATGGGTGCTGACTGCAGATTAGGCCATCTAACGAAATTTAGTAGACGGTTTATGCAGTGTGGTGCATTATTAAACATTCCTCTACGTGACGTTTCATGCTAAATGGATTTGACATGTCCCAATGTACTGAAAAAGAAATCTTAAAGGTCTATACAATAATTGAGTATTTCTACTAATGACTTTCGGATGGCTAGCAAGAGCTTTCTTTTTGTTTATTGAAGATGACATGGGCCAAATTATTTCCTTATTTAAACAATTTTCAAGAATATCAATTTCATTTTCAACGCTTCTTTTAGAAATATTTTGTACCAAATCTTTTCATTTTTTTAAAACAAGTATTTGTACTATATAATAATAATACTAAGATATAATTTATTTTTTTAAAAAAGTCTATCACTTTTCATAAAATTATAAGGAAATTGAAGTTACTTTTTTTTATCATTATATAATATGTTTATTTATTTATTTTAATTTTTTTTAAAAATTGTATAAGATCCTACATTATAAAAAATTAAAAATTAAATTTTTAAACCTGTGCTTGATGATATATAATAAGAAATTAATAAATAGTTTTTTATAAAAAAAAATATAACATTTAACGTTGTTAATATATTAAATTTAATAATATTACATAAATTTTAATAATAATTTACTTACATAGATTGTTGTTGTGTGCTTTAGACAGAAAACTTTTTAATGTATATTAAACTTTTATTAAAAATTGGAGTGTATAATAATATTAATGTATTAAATTGAATATTTATAATGAAAAATTAACATATAAAAAATAATTTTAATTGTTATTTATGTTTTTTTATAAATTTAATAGAGAAACATTAATTATCATTATTAAGTAAAGTTTAAGGGACATCAAAGGCTTAATAAAATAATTAACTTTTAACAGAATTTCTTAGTTTTAAAAGTAGAATAAAGTAAAGTTTTTATTTTGGTATAAAATAAAATAAAGTTGAAGGAGATGGTTATAAAGAGTGCATGCAGATATTCCGTTTCGGCTTCTCTGAAGAGTTTCTGTTTTGTGTGTGCAGTTTCTCACTGAACATACAAACAAAATCGGAAAGAGAAAAAGCCGTAGATTCCTCTCTCATTCTCTCTCTCTCTCTCTCTCTCTCTCACACACACACACAGACAAGAAGAAGCATTGCAGCAACCGCAACAGAATCCATTGTGCTCTGATGAGTCGCTACGACACAAATCCTTTCGACGATGACGTCGAGGTCAATCCCTTTGCGGTTAGTCTTTTCTCTAACTTTCTCAATTCCGTTTTTTCGTTTTATCGCTGCGTGATTAATCGTTGATAATTGTTTTTAGCTGCATGGCCACGCTTAGATTTGTTTCTGGTGCTTGAGGTCGCTCGTGGATTGAAACTCGTTTTGTGGCTTCTGGATTAACTCGAATGCTTTATATATCATTTCTGAATTTTTGGATTTGTAATTACTGGACCTGCTCAAACGCTTTATTATTATATGGCTGAACGACTTGAATTATTTGTTTTTAACGGTGGGATATTTTTTCAGCATGATTAATGCTATTAGATTGATTCACAAATAATCTAGTTAATTTATAAATATGTTTTATAAATCATTCATATTTACAAGAAACTATTATTTTTTTCCCGTATCTCTAGCTTCTGTGTTAAATGCATCTATTGATATCCAAAAAGGATAAACTTATGTTTGAGTTCTGAAATTTTCTTCTGGGGAGGAAATATACTGCTGCTAAATATGAAATAGCATCAAGTTTTCTCAATCAATCATTTCCTTTAAGTGTCACGGGGTTCCTCGATGAATTAATAGATATTGGCATCTGAGAGAGTTCTTTGTTTTTAATTAATCTTTATATTCTTTGATATTTGTTTAGTGATTATTAAATGACAATTCTTTCATGTAATTATGTGATGACCGTTGCCGTTGTTGATTTGAAACTGCAGATATGCCACCTCACATATGCTGAGTTCTTTTAGTCTTGCTTGTTATTTGATTATTATTTATGGAACTGAAACATTAAGCGTTTTCATTAATAATATTAGGATGGAAATAAAGGAAAAGGGTCAGGGCAATCGAGTTATGGTGGAGGTGCATTTTATACTACTGTAAGTTTTCCCTTTCCTCTAACTGAGACTGTTACATTAAAATACATCTCTGTGAAATAGTATTTTAACAGATAAAGGAATCTGTGGTTGTTTTAGCATTTGATATGTATCCTCTGTTATACTTGATTGGTTGTGAGGGACCATTTGGTTGCTGCATTTGGTAAAGTTACACTGGATGAAATGGCTTTGTGCACGTTCTCTATGAGAGGCTGTAGCTCTTATAGTAATGGCACATGCTGTCTATTATAATTTGTATTGTTGAGTTATTGAAGTTGTTTGTTTGTTGGTGAGTATAGAGAGGTTAGAATGGATTCTCTCTCTTTAACTAACGGAGTGGGTCAAATTGTGTTTGGCAGCAGAAGAAGTCAGCGATAATGCTCTTCCATAGTCTACAATAATTGTTACAAAGTTGTCAAGACTCAAGAATGGAATTTTTTTCCCATTGAGCAGTAGTGAGAGTGGTATTAATGCTGAATAAAATATTTCGAATGATTGCTGTAAAATGTAGATTTATATATGGATGGAAACTTATTTTCCGATGTAGCTTTGTGGGATATGATGATAGGAGGAAATTTCCTGTGGTGAGGGAAGGTGATATTCAGTTTCACTTAGTTAGCTGTCAAGACATCTTCCATTCAAGCGGGGAAACTGGAATGTGAAACTTTAGAGAACTTAGTATAAAATTTTTTGATGAATGGTCATGGAGTTATTTAACTATTTGCATGAAACTGATGATTTATGGAAGCAGGTTTTGGATGTAAGGATGCGTTTTCTTTATTGTGAGGTAGAAATACCATCAGTTGGTTCTGGATTCAGGTTCAGTTGTTTCATCAGCAATGAAGTAGGAAGTGAGGACAGGGTACTTCTGGAAGGACAGGTGGTGTATGTATAGCAAGAGAATGTGGATAGCTAGAATGGCTGAACGTCTTTTGTTAGGATCACTAGAGACATTATGGGTGGCAGGAAAGTTGGAAGACAACTGTCTCAGGTTGCCTTGGTATCTTTCTGTTTTTCTTTTTCTTTGGGAGATGGTTGTTTTGGGGAGGTTTTTGGATGTAAAATGATGCAGTTTCTCGCAAGTTGGTGTGATTAACTTTCTTGTGAATTCAGAAAATGTTTTTTTTCTGATAATTTGTCAGCGAGGAAACTAAACAATTGGATCATGCATTGTAAACGTAAAAGAGAGCAGTCAGCTAGTATGGTGATTTGATGTTATTTTATTCCTACCTTACTGATTGGGGGCTTGAGTCGTAAAACTTGTGTTTCTTTTTAAACATAAATGTAAAAAGAAGTAAAAGAGGCTTGTATTTATTAATTTACTACAAATTTGTTTGAATCTGCAGAACACTGGAAGTGTTCCCTCTGCAAACTCAAGGCTCTCACCCCTTCCTCCAGAGCCTTATGATCGTGGGGCTACCATTGACATCCCTCTAGACAACTCAAAGGTGCCTGGATTGTGAAAAATCTTGAAATAAATGTCAAAGCTATGTCTCAATGTTGTTGGTGGCCAAATATTTAATTATGTACTTCTTACTTTAGGACATCAAAGCAAAGGAGAAGGAACTTCAAGCTAAAGAGGCTGAATTGAAAAGAAGGGAACAGGTGATTCATGTTGATATCGTTTCTTGGTTTGTCACATTCAATATTTTATATTGTTGTCTTATATAGGTGAAAATAAGTCGTAATGAATCTCCAAGTTAAAATCAGGGACCTAATTGACACTTGTCGATTCTGTGATACATGGCCACTTTTCCTTCTTCATTTTAATATTTTATTGTTAGTATATGGGTAAACCTTGCACTAATTAAATTTTGCCTACTAATTAGACTCTATCGATTCTAAGTTAATATCAGAGAGAGACTAACTGGTGGTTAGAGTGGCTTATGTTAATTGTGTGATATGTGGCTAATTGTCCTTCCATTTTAATATATTAGTAATAGTTTGTTGGTAAACCTTCCATCGAGAGTTTTGTTCAGTACATAAATAAAACTGTCATTTCTGTTTTTTATTTCCACTTTTGTTTACTTTAACCTTACTATGAAATCGAATAAACTTGACCTTCATGCTATAATATCATTTGGTGTAGTCAGGAAATTTATTATCTCATTGTTCTGTAGGAACTAAAACGAAGGGAAGATGCTATAGCACGAGGTATTTGAGTTCATCTGTTCTTATAAAAGTCAACAAGAGCAATGTCTATATTTTTGTGTTTTCTTATTTATTTATTTATTTGCAGCTGGAGTAGTTATAGAGGAGAAAAATTGGCCACCTTTTTTCCCCCTCATTCACCATGACATTGCAACTGAAATACCTATCCATCTTCAAAGGATCCAGTACATTGCATTTTCAACATGGTTGGGTATGTTGAACGCCAGAACTTTCTTTTAGAATGTCTTAAGTTGTAACTAGCTAAGCACATACTGATAAGTAATATTGAAAAAATCTAAATTTGTTTTTCTTATGAATTATGGAAACGCGTAGTATACAATTCACAGATGTATACAAATTACTAAGGAAATTTCTTATACGAGCAACAAAACTTTTAGCTGTAATTGATATTTTACTTAAAATGTACTTTCATGTCTTCTGCTTCACATTTCTAGATAGTGTTAGTAAGTAATTAGTAATTTTTCTATTCAAAAACCTTCATTACTGACTTTTTATAAAAATTACTTTATTTGTTTTCTTGACACAAGATCCAGCATTGAAAGTAATATTTTAAGTGTCATATGTTTTATTACGTGACGGAAACCAAACTAATTTCAACTTTATTTATATTCTGCTTCCCATGAAAATGTTTTCATTTATGACATATCATGTTCCTTGAACTATAGCAATTTACTTCTAGGTAAAATAAGAATAGCTAATGCAATCAATTGCATCAGTTTCTAAATAAAATAATCACAACAAATATTGAAATTGTGAAGCAACCCTTGTTTGTCTTGGAAAGCAGGTTTGTTAGTATGGCTGAAATTCCCACATATTTCATGCTGAAAGGAATTTCATTTTAATAAATTTTGTATGCTCAATGCATTCTTGTCTTGTGTGTGTATTTTGTCCTCATTCATTTTTCAGTTTTTTCAAAAGTCTATTTATTTTTAAAGTTTGTTCAAATGAATCACAACAAAATTAAAGACTTTTTGAAACTCATGGATAATGTTGTAATAACATATAACTAAAGTACAAGATAAAGTTAATGTTTATTTTTCATTTCTCTCTTTTCCTTAGGGTGGGGATATGAGCTCTTCGATTCACCCTCTTCAACCTATGAAACTTTAAAAGTGTCCTCCCCCATTTCACTTGAAATTTATAGCATATAACATTTAGAAAATATCTCTTAATAACATTATTGTATCTTTGAATAATTTAGAATATTTTAGATAATATCTTGGGAGCGGTTTCCACTTTCCATATTTTATTATATTTATTTAGGATTAGGAGTTTAGCATTAATATGATTAGGTATGAATATCTTGTATTTTTAATCACATCTAATCAAGATCGATCACAAGTATTCGTTAACTTATTCTCTCTGTTGGTCCTCTGTTTAAATCCCCATAATCATAATTTATCTTACTTTAATTACTGTATGAGTCTGTAATAATCTGCAGGTTTGATTCTGTGCCTTTTGTGGAACATTGTGGCAGTTACTACTGCTTGGATCAAAGGAGAAGGTTCGTATTACTCCTACAATTGGATATTGGCACATCAAGTCATGCTTAATTTACAGAGACTTGTTTTGCCATGTAGGTCCTACCATCTGGTTTCTTGCTATTATCTATTTTATTTCTGGTGCTCCAGGATCCTATGTGTTGTGGTATCGCCCTCTTTATCGTGCTATGAGGTAGCATTCATTCAGATTTATTGCAATTTTTGTAGTTTAGTATAGAGATATCTGTTCAAGACTTTTTCAGTCTATTTGTTAAGCTTGAAAAAAAGATGTAAATGATGATCTATCATATATATAGCTATGCTTTAGCTCAATTATGAAGCACCAAATATTTTACTGCTAGAGCAATGTGTACACATTAATAATGAGTGAGAAGAATTTGAGCCTTTGGAAGGCAATACTGTCACTGTGAAGACTGAAAAGCTATGTGGGTGCAAACTCTACGTTCAACCAACGCTTTGATCTGATCTTATATGGGAGGGGACCCCAGAAGTGGGGAAAAGGGATGGATGGGGAGGATGGTGGAGTCAGTAGATGCGTAACCACCTTCTTTGAAATTGAATTGAAAGCATTGATTAGTAAATGCTTTTGTAGGAATACTTATCTTGTGAACGGGAATCACTGTTATCTGGATTCTTTGGTAGTTTATTATTTTGTTGTTACATATTGATGTTGTTTCAGTTTCATAATCGTGTTCCATCTTGTGTTACGCTTACAGGACTGACAGTGCTCTCAAATTTGGCTTGTTTTTCTTGCTCTACATGGCAAGTTTTATTTATTTTCCTATTGTTGTCAATATTCTGCATTTATTTTATGAAGTGCTCATTTTGCTTTCCCGGCTTTTCTACAAGCAGTTGCACATTGCCTTCTGCGTTTTTGCTGCAGTTGCTCCACCAATTATCTTCAAAGGAAAATCTCTCACGTGAGTGTCCTTAGTATTTTGCATTTACCAAACGTTTTGCAAAATGATATTCTTCTGTAATTACTCTCTACTAATTATTAGTTTTGTACCTACTGAATACAATGATTAATGACTATCTCATAATCATCAATTTACTGTATTGTTGTGTTTGGCTTGACGGTATATTCTTAATGATTTTGTAGTACAACAGATATGACATATACATTTATTTTTGTTATTTCATTTCTACTCGATTTAATTGTTATATTCTATGTTCTTATGATGTGGACAGAGGAATTTTGCCCGCGATTGATGTGATGGGCGACAATGCATTGGTTGGGGTACGTTTCAGTTGTGTTTATGTTGGCTTCTGTAATGCCAATATCTTCTTGGATAATATATCAGTTGGAAATAATTATTCCGTATCAGAGGTACATTTTCAAGTCAATTTCACTTTGAACTGATGAATACTTGTGCTGAATTGCAGATATTCTATTTTATTGGGTTTGGACTTTTCTGTGTTGAGTCATTGCTGAGCATCTGGGTTATACAGGTTTTTATAATATTAACACTGTAACTCCAACTTCGTATTCGCTTAAAGTTACTTGTGCCCTTTTGTTTGACCGATTATTTTATATTTGCAGCAAGTATATATGTACTTCCGCGGCAGTGGCAAGGCTGCAGTGTTAAAGCGTGAGGCTACGAGAGGGACAATGATGGCAGCTCTGTGACAGTGGCACTTAACAAATGCTTTCTCAATGGTTATAAAAAAAAAGAAGAAGATTTCTTTGGTTACCAGTTCCTTACGCACCTTTTACGCCTTCGTTAATACCTGGATTTTTTTTTTTAAGGTTTTGGCCTTTGGTTGAGTCAAATCAGATAATTAAGATAAAAGCTTAGTTGTGAATATATAGAAAACATTGTTTGAAATGGCTCCTTACACATGATTCATTTCGTAGCATATTTGTTTATAATTTTATTAACAAAATACTTCAGCATAGATTAATATCAAAATAGACTTAAACTACTCGTAGATGTAGGCTTTTAAGTAGCGTTTAAACCTAGACCAATATATTTAAACTTATATATAGGTTAGCGAATTTAATTTTTTTAAAAATATTAGTAACATTTTTTACCTTTTTTTTATTGAGTAAATTTCATATGGTTCTCGCTAAGTAGCAAGTGAGACTTTACATAAATTTTACTCAATAAAACTCGCTTCAATTATATTTATAAGACTTTTTAATTAAATTATGCATAATAAGAAAATTTATTTGGTGGGATGAGAAAATAAAGACAAGTTACACTTTAGGGTGTAAAGTACAAGAAAGATAAAAAAAATAATCTCATGGAGCACGATAAAAGTATTACTCAGAGAAGCTTTTCTTATTGTAATATAATTTGGACTATAATTTTTCTCTATCAAGATGTGTTTAAGAGAGACTTTCAAATTTGATTCATCGAGCATGAATGTTATCATCAAGGCATAACCACGAAACTGAAGCATTATTTTGAATGAGATGAATACCATGAAAATTATTAGAAAAACAAATAACCTGACCATATTGAAAATTTTAAGCTGTTAAAAGGCCCCTCTAAGCTTTTAAGCTTTGAAAAAAATGTTATCACAAGCCTTCACATTTTCCATGAAACCACCCAGCCACCTGCCAATAGAGTGAAGATACCTCCAAATCTAGTACAACTGATCGTGACGTAAAAGAACAATGTCTTAAAGCTAATCAAAATTACGAAAACCTTGCATTGTTTGATATATTTTATTTAATTTTTATATCATAAATATTTTTTACTTGAGCTAATTCTTTTAAAGTCAGATATGATTAACGTAGGTAATAAATCTTTTCTTTTGAATATTTAACACAATATTTTTCAAGACTCAAACAAATATATATATATATATAATACCTTCATTCTCAACAAAAGTTTGCTTAGAAAATGTCTTAAAGTTATTATCAAAAAGTGAAAATACAAAAATTTAAATGTAAAATAAACGTGTTTACTAACAAGGTAGAACCCAAAAGGTAAAACGACGTCGTATAAATTCGACATTCTTTCTTTTCCATTAAGGTTACGAAAAACCCTTGCGCCTAGGGTTTATAGCGTCCAATCCTGACATCGAATTTGAAGCAATCCACTCTTGATTTCGATTCCGTGGCAGATAGATAACAATGGCTCTCCAACACGAAAACGGGTCGGATCTCGACCCGAATCCTATTGGGGTGGAGACCCATGCAGCGGAGGGTGAAAAGTTGGGAACTTTGGGTGGTGCTGTTCCTATTGAGGAAGGCGTGGAGAAGATATCTTTAGTGGGTGCCTCTCTTTCAATTCAGGGGAATGGTGAAAACAATGATAGTGAAAGCCAAAACGAAACCGAAAGTGATAGTGAAAATGAAAATGCAGAGTCTGACTGTCCTTCTGCTTCTGATTCTAGCAGCGGTAGCAGCAGCAGCAGCAGCAGCAGTGATAGTGAGGATGAGGAGGAGGCACGCCATGATGGTGATGCGGAAGTTGAAGAAGGTGAGATAAGTGGTTCTGATAAAGAGAAGATGGTTAGTTGGAGCATGGTTGATGATGATAATATTGAACATGATGATGAAGATGATGATGATGCAGGAGGACCCATCAGGTCAAAGAATGAGCTTCAGGTTTTTCTTTTTATTTCTTTTAATTTTTAATTCATACATTAAATAATCGCCAATTTGATTTTCCAGTGCTTCATTGGGAATCAGCATTTTTTTAGAACAATGATTCAGTTGTCAAATCTTGAGAGATTCAGTTCGGAAATTCAACACTTTTGCCACGGTCTTATCTTACGTTTGAATCGTTTGGTGCCTGCACTGATTAATTTTTATCACTCAAGCCAGTGTTTGAGCTACTAGACGTAGACTATTGTGTATTATGCTTTTCTTTATGGTATTTGTCTAATTGATACATGTAGACATGAATGCGGTTTGGATCCTTTCATTTCAGTGCCAAGATGTTTATTTGAGTTTGATTTGTTCGGGGGGAGAATATTTTGTGCCAGTGATTTGTTTCACGAGTTAAAAGTCTAGACTTTGACTAGTGACCTTTTCCTTGAATTTTTTTTGGAATTTTGAATTGAAGGATGTTAGAATATAAGAAATATTGAAAATCTATTGATGTTCTATTATGCAATTGTATTTTGTTTTTGGGCATTGTCTTGAATGATTTTAACTTTGCAGAATCTGCCTCCTGTTCCTTCAGTTGATGCAGCCTTAGAACCACAACACCAAATGCGGTCAGTGGGGATTGTTACGTCGGTAATCTCACAAAAACCTCCACTCTAACATAATTTGCCATTCCATTATTGATTGCAAATTCAGTTTCTTTAGTTGCTTGGCAAACCCCTATCTGTTTAATTGTTTCTGTAGATAAGAATATGACTATAAGAATAGGATAGAAAGGGTACCAATTTTTGTTGGAATCAACTTAATTAAGTTTCTCATTATACAGATTATTGGTGCTCAAGTCATTGTGGAAGGAGTTGAGAAGCATGACCCTCTTAATGAGGGTTCCATTCTTTGGCTGACTGAAAGCCGAAAACCACTGGGTTTAGTTGATGAAATTTTTGGACCAGTCAAGAACCCTTTTTATGTTGTGAGATACAATTCTGAAAGTGAAGTCCCGGCAGGGATCCATGGGGGAACCTTGATCTCATTTGTTCCAGAATTTGCTGATCATGTGCTTAGTAACAAGGATCTATATAAGAAAGGGTATGATGCATCTGGTGCAAATGATGAAGAGTTGTCTGATGAAATAGAGTTTTCAGATGATGAGAAAGAGGCTGAATACAAGAGAATGCAAAGAACGACAAAGAGAGGTGCAAATGATCAAAACCATGGCAAGAAAAAAAACAATAGAAAGAAGTTTCCACCAAAAGAGCATGTGACGCCTACCATCTCTGATGCACCTGCAGTAACATTGCTTGATCATGGAAATTGTGCTCCTTTTTCCGGAATTGGACAAGGTTTTTTGGGGGGAACTACCACAGTTCCATCATTTCCACCCATAAACACAGCTCCTAACTTCGCCACAAATGGAGTTTGGACAAATGGAACAATACTTCCACAGCAGCCACAGCCTGCCCTGCTTCCTAATGGATTTCCTTCAAATGGCATATCATGGTACCCACAAAACACTCAAATTTCTGCTCAATTGCCTATGCCAGGAATTCCATTTCAACAGCAATTGCATTCAAGTCAGGGACCTCTCTCTACACCTATGCTGCCTGGGGTACAGCCTAATATATTTGCACAACCCATTTTTGCACCTGGGCTTGTGGGGCAAAACCAAATGACATTTGGATTGAACTCACCCTTTCCACCGATTCAGCCACCTATATGTGCTGCACAACAGGGTTTTCCACCCATTGAATTGCATTCAGAAAGAAACCTTAATTTGCATTCTAATGCTATATCTGGCGCTCCCTCTCAATTTCATCCAGGTTCATCTGTTAATCGTGGGAGAAAAACATTTCATGGTGCAGGTAGGAAAGGGTGGCGACCAGCCAAGTGAAGGTCTTTGTTGTGTGCTCTACTGCACAGTCATTTGCTAATTTGTCAAGTTGGGCCATTTTGCAAGGACTGTACCGCACTTGTAAATTTCCTGTATGCCTTTCGAGTTTTGAAATGAATTCGGTAAGCTCCTATAGTAGTTGAGTTCTCAATCTTTAGTTAAAGATACCATTTGTGCTTTAAAGTGCCACGCATTTAATAGCTTGGTGCTGATGATCTTGTTTGTCTACTGAATTGACTGAAGGAGCACCTTCCACTTTCAATGTGCTGAATTTTGCCAATATATAGTCGCCAAGGACCAACAAAGGAAAAGTTCTCATAATCCAGTAGGAGTTTTCACCATTTTTCTTTCTGTAATCTCAACTCCAACCTTCAAAAGGCCTTTTCATGCCTAAATCCTATTATACTTTAGGGAGGGTTCTGAAATGATTTAAAGGGGATTGTTATTTGTATAACTTGATTTTATTATTCACACCATTTATTTGATTGTGACTTTCGAAAGGTATAAAATCACTTTTGAAAAAATAAATTTTGAAAGTGATTTGTATATGATTTTCAAAATTTAATTTCCAAAAAGTACAATTTTTTATCCAAATTCAAAATAAATGAACACTTACGTGTGTTTGGATAAGAAGAAATAAAATAAAGAAAAAAAAACATGAATACTAATATATTTTGTCATTTAATTATAAAAGTTAATTTATAAATAAAAAATAAAATTATTTATTTTTATTTTTTCTTCTATTCAACTTTATTTCTTCGAAAACATACACAGGAGTCTCAAAATAGCGAAATTAACCAACCAGCTCTTACAAGCTGTGGAAAGCATTGAAACTCGCCACTCTCTTTTCCTTGGCTCTCAGCAACTCCTCGAATCATGATTACACTTAAACAATAACATGTGGTTCATATATAAAGTCAGCATACTAGTGAAGGACTTAACATATCCAACCCTCCAAAGACTACATTTGCATCATTGAGCTGTGAAACATTTTGACTAGGCAATAATAATTGCCCAAAATAAACGGAGCCGGTCGGGTACTGTATTTCGTCTTGGTCACCATGAATTGATATTAAATCTATACTATGCCACTTTTTAACACTTTTTTTTCTCTCTCTCATAAGATATATATATATATATATATGAACATATGGGGGAGAGAAAGGGAAGTTATAAACATTGTGAAAGAGAATAAATGGCTACTAGCATTGAAATTTATGATCCAGTCACAATGAGAACAATGAATGGTGAACTCAGTCAGACTGGTAATGTCCAATTAGGAAATGAAACATTCTTGTAGGCATAAATAGCCCATATGAGAAAATAACACAATATATAAGAAAGAGTTAAGCTTTGGCATTGTTTGTAAAGTCAGTGCAAGTCTGGCAGCTGCAATCTGAAAAACGGCATGTATCACACCCAAAGCACACACAAGAAGTGCAACCTTTGCATGTTGGAGAACGTGTGCATCCCCTGTAAACTCTACGACTTGCTCGTTCTTCTTCATCATCACATGTAATTCTGAAAACATGCTATTAGTAATTGCTCTAAAAAATATAAAACAGTTTAGTTTCAGTACAGGTGAACTTACAACAGCATGAACAGAGAACACATGCTGCTAGGAGTATCATGAGTGCAATTCCATCTTTTCCATTCAGTAATTAAGAAGATAGTAAAGCAAACAGAAGGGTCTTGATATTACTAACCCCCATACACTTGTGAAAACTAGACCAGTTTAATGGACTTAATAAATGATAATGATATAAATCCATTCACGTACTCAAGTACTCGTACCTAACAACATAAGCTTTTGGATAATTATTTGCAATAGATTTCCACCAGCCCCTTGGTCCTCACCCAAAGTAGGGGCATCAATCTATCCATTTTCATTGGTAGCAAAACTCAACCAAAGTATCTTTTACTATTAATAAAAAGGGTGACGGTGATGGGAAAAAAGGAGAGAACGGACAAAGTACACCGATAACTGGAAATAACGTAATGCTGAGCAAAATGATGGTATACATCAAAGCCAACAAATGATCAAGTTCTAGAAGCTATCAACTGTAATTAAAGCATCAGCAACAGTGTCTGCTAAGACAATTAGAATTAAATATTACTGCAGAGGGCATAATAGTCTAAGTAGCATCAGCATTGGTATATAGATGGAGGATGAACATAATGCTGACAGAACAGTTTTAAAAAATTACGCTACTTTAATATGAAACTTTTAAGAGCGTTGTTTTCCTTTTCCTAGATGTAATTGAATGCAGTCTGACCCAATACAAATCACAGTAAACTGCATGGAAAGATTACTATAAGTACCAGTTCAAATATTATAGCTTAATTACATAGATAAGTTTGTTTTAAGCTTCTTTCAAATCAACCTCTTTATCCCCAAGTTTGTTTTCAAATGAACTTAAGCCCATCAGCTTTGCAACTACAGATGCCATACTCACCATTATTATTAGATTATAAATGTGCAAGACTTTAAAGGAATCATCATAATGAATACTAAGTTACAATCAGAAAGGCTAATGCTTTTGAAATAGTTGCATTCTAAATTCACGAGAAAAGAAAATCATGGGGAAAAGAAGACCATGGAGGAAAATTCCTATGTCAATATATTTTATTCAATAAATTCTAATGAGCAATTTGAATGAAGTCTCCTTACACATTAACCATACCCTAGACCTACTATTTCTTGACTATAACCATATCGTGTCCAAATATACTATATATACTGCTTCAGTTTAGTCTTCTTTTGACTAGTTAAACAATGCTATACAATCTGTAACAAGCAACACATCACAATTTCAAAAACTTGAAATGATCATTAAACATTCTGTTTCAATCCATATATTCACACTTGTAAACTCTTTTTTTATTATTATTATTATTATTATTATTATTATCAACGGGGCTTACACAAGCACTTGTAAACTCTTTTACTTTGCACTGTATTTGCGCTCATCATTCCCTTGATATTAACAATGTTAAATGCCAGTTTTGGTGTATTTTTGTCTCTGGCATTTTTCAATCCTTGTATGGTTCCAGAATACACAGCTTCTGGCCAAATTGAAATATCAGTGTCCTTATGCCATTGTAACAACAACAAATGATGCATTTAAGTCTGTATAAGGAATTCAACGAACTTTTTAACACATACAACCAAACGCATACAAATAACAGAAAATCTTGCTTCAGAAATCTCTAATTTTATTGCTAAGATGCTACGAAATAATTTTCAGAACCAGGTCTGGTTAAGCTCTTTCAGCTCGAGACAAATAATATCCATCATCAAGACACAGTAGCTTTAAGAATTATAATTAGCACATATTTATAGCAATAAAATACTGTTATATGCTATGTTTTAAAATGAGATTATCGATTTAACAAAGATTATCATAGTTCCAGTTACTCAGTAACATTAAGAGCCCATTGTAGTCTGAAAATTGCATAAAGAGTTCACATTAATGTTACATGATTGCTCAACCACAAAACAGTAATATGATATACCTATTGGAATTTATAAAATATTCTGCCATCAATCAAAGATGAAGCAATGATACTATAGCAAGATTTAGAGTACAAAAAACAAGATATCCTAAATTAAGACTGTATTCAGTTACTTGTATGGAACTCTGCAAATTAGCGAGGATTGGTTCCTATGTCTTCACATATTAAAGATCAAAGATATTGGCTCAACTTGGAAAATAGCAATACCATTTCCATCAATATAAAAAATATTTAAATAGATGATGCCATTTGGCATCAATAAATTCATTCAAAGCATGGTGAATTTATTTAACACTAGTCCAATAGATGGACATTATAACACCAAGTCACCAACATTAAAAGCATGACTTGCTCACTTATTTTGCAGTTCATATAGAAAGTGTATTATAAGAGGAAAAACATACTTGTCATATGAAAGATCAGAACATTTCCAATTTGCATCTGCCAAAGCATCATGGTGAATGCGGCATTCCTCTTTAGTCCTCAAACGAAACCTACGCTCTTTGTCGCACCTAGTACAGCGAACAAACTCATCACGGTGACAAGCCCGGCCATTTTGGGATCTATGGGAGCCATTTGCCGCTCTTGACACTTGATTGTAGTATTTGAGCAGCACTGTTTTAAACAATGGAACCTTCTCACCGTTAACTATTACCCAGACATTATTTTTCCATTTCCTGGCTGTCTCTCTTCCAGAGTGTTTCTCAAATGCTGAAGGAGTCAACTTGTCTAACAATAGAACAAAATTATGCAAATAAAAAGGTCATTAAGGAGAACAACACTATTATTTTACAAAATTAAAAATAGATACGGCACTATAAAGCATGCAGTCTCAACAATCAAAATCAGAAAAAAAGATAAATCTTTCTTTCCTTCACGAATACATAAAGCACAGTAAAAATACACAAAGGCAGTTCAAAGCTCCTCTTGTCATATATATCAAAATGTAACCAAAACAGCAATTATTAATATTTCCTTAAATTATTGAAATTATGCCAATGAAATGACTAGTGAGGGTAATAAGTGGATCATCTACCCACGTCTACCCCTAAAACTCCACAAGAGGGCTCAAGAAATCATTTCTTTCTTATGTTCTCTTTTTTGGTCAGTGAAATTTCAGAATTTTTATTCACGCTTAATCATGTGATCTCTTCCTTAAATTCTGATCTCTCAGTGCTTTCAGATTCAATTATATTGGCATGTTATAACATTTCTCTATGAAAATTTACTTCTTTAAGTCGGTATTTCATGTATCATTTGCAGAAACAATTACTTAAATATATCTTATGCAGTGTGGCAAACAAGATTTGCAAAGAAACAGTCATTACTTTTTGTTAAATAAGTTAACCCTCATGCATCAGCAGAGGTATTAGTTCATCTGCCTGGACATATACTCACTCTACTACATAAGTTACTTATATTCATCATCTTTCAAGCAAAATAACGCACACACTGCATACATTGAACAAAAAAAACTTTACAATTAAAAGCTACCTAAGTGGTATGAATATATATCTGCCAACGCCAAATACAAATAGCAATCAATCAGTATTACACACAAGAGAAAGTGTCATCATAGACAAGAACAAAACTTGTGAGCAAAACTCATTCATTACATATTACACTAACAAAATCATACGATCTCACAATAGTCTACTCTGTCAAACAGACTTGGATCACTTACAACAAATATAGAGTAACGAGAAAGCATAATGGTTATGTCACGTAGTTAAATGCAAACAATAGAAAGGTCTCCTTCATCAAGAAACAAGCCATGTTTAAACTCACAAAAAGACACCGTGTCATTTTAAGAATTTTCCAAATTGCACATAACAAAAACAAACATTCCTCAAGCCCGATCGCGGGTATTATATCAAACCAACGACTTCACTGAGACAAATCAACATACACTTCAACTGTGAACCACCACTACAAACTCACAACCCAAAACAGATCAAAACAACCCCATAATGATGCACATCAACGTCAAAACTCACTTCAACACACAATATCAACATGCACATAAACAAAAGAAAAAGTCATCATCTTCATAGAGATAGTGATAGAGAGAGAAAGAAGAGAGAGACCTTCCTGGCACCCAGGGGTGCATTCACAAGTGATTTCAAGGTACCCATTAACGAAAACCCTAAGTCTTCCAACAGCATCACCATATCTATGGCTGGTACACCCACACGTGACTTCAACATAGTCCCCAACACGCTTCACCCCACTCACTTCGCTCAGCTCTTCATCGCTGAACATTGTCAACCCACTTTCTCTCTCTAATCCATTCGCCATTTTCTCCAGAAAAGACTCTGTTTTTGGCGAGAAAACGATGTGGGTGTAAAATCGAATATCAAGGGTATAAGGGTATAGATAGAGATGCGGCGAAGAAAATTCGAGAGAGTAGAAAAAAAGTGCAAAGAATAAGCTCCAATAACGGGCTTTTTGGCACGAGATGGCGAGGAAGACCCAACACCACGTTGTTCCTAGAGATCTGACACAGAAACGTTGAAATGTTTTAGAGAGAGAGAAAGAGAGAGAAAGGGAGAGAGAAGGGTTGGTGATGGGGTTGAATGAAAATAATGAATGAGCTGGCGTAGCAAAACAAATGTTGTGAGGTGAAGGGGTTAAAAGGCTTAGGGTGCTACTTGCAATGCATGATATGACATGAGGGAGGATATGATATATAGATAGAGAGAGAGAGAAAACGAGAGAGAGAAAAAGAAAAGTTTATAGGGAAATCCTCTCATGAAACGAGACGACGTTTTTGATATTCGTGTGTATGTTCATGTTAATGTGTGTGTGGGTGTGTTTTTGTTTTTTATTTTATTTATATTTTAATGGCAACGTTTTTTTTAGTTGTTGCATTGCAACTTTGAGTGAGGGTTCTAGCTTCTTGATGTATGATTCTGCGTTAATAAATAATGAAACTAATTGAGTATAGTCAGAAAGAGGACTCTTTGAAAAAGGGGTAGATAAAAAAGTGTGGTTCGGAAGGAGAATTTGATTCTCTTCTGTTTAAACTGCGATTCGTTTTACGACATGATGGGTGCGAGTTAATAATTCTACGAGCTTGTAAAATGGTAATTAAGCACAAGACCATTATTGATCAGCAAAAGGGGTTCAGTTCAACTTGAAGTTGCTGTAATATAACACACAAGTTTAGAGCTAATGTTAAAATGATATTATTATTTGGACCAATTTGGTCCTATATATATATATATATATATATATATGTACATGTTTATGGTGATAGTGAAGGATATTGTACGTTCCAACCTTCATGTGATTTGCAATCAGAGTTTAAATCCCTATTTGTTTTCATGCTCTTTACCAATAAAGGAAAAGAGATGAGTCTATACCGAAGACGTTGACTCCATTACTTGTCCCTGTAATGAACACGAAAGCAATTGTAATTTTTCCCATTTTGTTTTCGTTATTACATCATACGTTACTCCAGCCACAACCACCATGTTGATAATATATGGTATATAGTATACGTATATGTTAAAACTTCTAACAAATTAACTGAAAAGGAGAACTGTTTTCTATTTATATATGGCAGAAAACTTCAGAAGCATAGCACTTAAATGTGTGAAAATTTCATTTGAGATTAAATTGGTAAAGTCTTTATAATTTGATTTTGAGACCTTCCAAAGACACACTGTATAAAGTTCTCAGTTCTTTACCGGGACTAGATCAAACTGGCGTGAACATTTATCAAAGGAATATACCTTTCCCTTAATCTGGTACATATGAAAATCTTTCCCAGAAAAAGAAAAGTAAAAATATTCTACATATTGATATTCGCTATATTAATATTACGAACTTCAATACATATCTTGGTTGCTGCAAAGTGCAAACTGTCAGAACTAATACTTTTAAAGCTCTGAATTTGTTTCAGTTGCCATTTCATATGGTGGCAGCTTTCATGAGCCATTGTGCCAAAACACTCTTGTGGGAGTTTAATATAACAAAGTTTTTGTTCCCTTTCTCGTCCCTTATTCCTTAAAAATGTACACCACTATACTTGCACAACGCCATGTGGTTCTAAACTCTAGGTTGCATTTTTAAGACTCAGGCTTGTTACCCTTTTTCCGTGTTACCTAAAATATCAAGAAACCAATTAATTTTCATATGGCCTCTAAAATGTAACCCGTTTAACATCGTAAGAACCATCACAACATTGGCGCCGCAACTCAGGGAGACAAATTGCAAATACTAGGTGGTTGGTTTGGTCTCCTACTCTACTAGCTAATCCCATACATGTCTGTTCTGCAACTAAAAGTGTAGGCAAAGTGTGCCATATTATAGATTTGATTCTGCAGAATATTTGGCATTTAGAGAAGCCATTGATTAAGAAATCTATGTCCGATATGATATGATGCACAGTTATTCTTTTGTTATTCATATTTTGTTTCAACTATGAAAAAAAAATCGGTTTTCTAGAAATATGTACTTCCATTAATATCATGATACTTAGCATTATTAAAAACTCTCACATAACCTCCCTCAATTATTAAGCTACAATTTATATATTTGTTAGACAATTTTACTTAATATTAATTAATTTTAAGATGAAGTCTAAGATAGTGATATTTGTTTTTGTGATTTTTAGAGAAAATATCCATTATTTCTAATCTCACTCATTGCCAATTGGTTTATTTTTTCAGTCCCCAACAACAAAGTGATAAGAGCTACGATTACAGAGAGACATCTTTATCTTAGAAAGGAACATGTGGATTTTGGTTTTAAGCTCTCAATTGCATAACTTATATTGGCTCGCAAGCTGATTGGGCCCCTCAAATAGGGAAGGGGGGCGCATGAACTTCTGTTGGTGCCTCAAGCTGCTATAATACCATCATGATTTCAGCAAAGTGCACAAGATATGTATTGATTTCATTGTCGCATCTTTCATTATGGGATGTGAGATAGCCCATAACAGGAAAGAAAAGGCAAAATTTTTTTTTGTACATTTTATCATTTTTTATTATGGTATGTCAAACAGAACGTATTGGGAAAGAAAAAGTAAAATGGGTCATTTTTTTACTGTGGCATGCAATCGTGGCTAAGTTTTTGTATTGAAGAAACAAAGCTTCAGAGCCTGTTCTTTCGGCTTCAAAGAGATATATGCACAAACCCAACAACTATTTCAGTAAGTGCAGTGTAGATAATGTCCAATATGACTTTACAACTTATGAATAGTCACTGAACTATATATTATTATTGTATGGCGTGTATTTTTCAACGACAAAGTACTGATTATAATGATGGCATACTTTCCCACTTTAATGATCACACAGTGTTAGGAATGTGTATGAGAGTGTCTCACGAGAGATTCCATTAGGCATTGGCGGTGGCTCATCTCACACTAGCCTTAGTTAACTTGGTTGTAGGGTCGAACCAATTTGATTGAAATTCATACCTAAGATTCTCTACCTTCATATAACATATGATTGTCTACGTGGAATGCCAATTTGAAAAGCATAACCACGTGTAGCTTTAGATGCCTTGCTCCTTCCACATAACAAAAAATTGTTAGGTCGCCTTATTATTCATATAAGATTTGAATTCTCTAATATTATAATTAGTCATACAATTAATTATATTTAGTTTTATCTAATAAAAAATGTATTTTTTAATACAATCATATTATTCTGCATATACTTTATGAGTACTAATTTAAAATTTATTTTTAAATTTATTTAATATAATAAAATATTTATGATTAATAATTATTCTAATATATTGACTTGGGTGTTGAAATAATTTACACCCTCCGGGGGAATCCAATGAAAAACTTGACATGTCACGTAAGTTAACATGACACAGCTAGTGTTGCCAAACAGCATTAGCCATGTAGAGTGGAACTGAGTTCAAACAAACACTGTCTACACGCCATGTTCGGTCGGTACCTAATGTAAGTGCCGTGACCTATCACAACTACCTCCTACCCAAACAACAACCTAAACAGCTGGTCCAAAAAACATAACTACGATATTTAAATTATTATAAATTTATATTCAATGTCATGTGTTAGGTAACCTTTTTTTCTTATTTATATTTTTACGCATACAGAAACTGTCATCTTAAAATACATCTAGCTAGAACCTCACAAGAATCCGTGTGACAATATTTAAATTAGTTGCATTGAGCATTGAACATTGCTAAGAATTTCTTACGTGATTTTAACTTTTAGAATGAGTAGTGATATTTTTATAATCATTTTTTTAAAGTTGTGCAACGTTACATATAATATTTTATTATATAATTTGTAATTGTACAAATTACATTTCTAAGAGTATTTCTGCACCGCAACTAACGCAACACAGCATGGTAACTCCTCAACCTCATGTGACTCACTGTATATAAATAAGACCAAAATGAAGATCCAAATCTCATGACTCTGCCTTTCACTGTGACAAGTTAAATGATAGCGTAATCTTTGTAGGCATTTGAAATGATTATGTTTTGTGCTCACATTTCGTCGCCACAAGTAACGAGCTAGTTAGCTTCAGCTTAAAAAATTAAGATTTGTCATTAGACAACATCCATATGATGTGACTCTACTGCCATAACTAAGAAGAATGAATTGCATCCCGCATACGAGTTTGATAAACTTGGAGGTGTGAGTTTTTATAAACGTAAAACATTATGTATACCTATTACCTATTATATTTAATGTCTGTGTATACATTCTTTTATTGGCCAAATGAGTGAACAGTTGTATACTATTATCATAAAATTAGTTTTTAAAAAACTTATTAAAAAAAATCCTTGATACTATTCTAGAGAAAAATGATACCTTGTTTTTATTTCCTTAGTAACCATTCATTTCAAGCAAGTCAAGTCTCTGTCCCAATTTGCACGTCTTCCACTGAAGAGAATATCCATGCATAGACTTTCGAGCCTGAAAATCTTAATATTTTTTTTAACACTGCTGGGTTTGTAACACACTCTTGCTTGCAAAGAGAGTACCTTATATATTTTTTTTACTGTGAGTAGTTCTGCTAGGACAATCCCAAAACTATAAATATCACTCTTATGAGTCAAGTGGCTTCTTATTCAACAATCATTAAAGAACAACAATGGCCAATTTATAACTCTATAAATGGAGTTTATATATTATTAAGTATTATTTCTCTTTTTTAACCGGTACTTTTCTAATTATTACTTAATTATTATTTTTTATAATTAATTAGTTAAGTTAGAACTAACTAAATTAGTCAATTAGACATTTTTTTTTAAATTTTGTATATATGTTTGCTTCTTCTCATTATTATTATTATTATTATTATTATTATTATTATTATTATTATTATTATTATTTTTATATTTTTTGTTCTTTCTGAGTTTCTTTATACTCGTTACTATCTTGAGATAAATTCTTGAAGAGTTTTGATATATATATATGGGCACAGTATGTGGAACAGTTTTTTTATTCGGACGAAACAAAGTTTAAAAAAGACTATCCAATTAGACCTAATATCGTGGACCAAGTTTTATTTTCCAAAAATATAAATAAAAAAAGTACGACGAGGAGTTATTTTTCTTGAAGATAAATGATACTTAGCTTTTGATGAGAGTTGTCTTTCAAATAAAGAAAAAGTAAATTTTAAGAAATTAGTGAAGTAAAGTGAGATAAGATATTACAATTGAGAATTGCAAATTTGAACTTTAACTTGTCTTTTTAGATTGAAATAAATATAAGTTTCTTGCAA